CTTAAGACAGAAGCGTTCTACGGCCACTCGATAGATGGTGCCACTGTGCTAGTCTCTTAAGCGGTTTTAAGAAATCAAAACACACTCGTGCATAGGCAAATGCAAATGTATGTAGCTGTATTTAGCAAGAGGACGACATTGGCGGATTGCTGTCGTAGTTTACCCTTACACTTTATCGCGGAAGACCGAGATGTGTACTCAAAATAAAGTACCCCCCCCCCCCCCCCCCTTTTGGTGATATTTTATACCACTGAGTTTCGATAGGAATATTTCGGTCCAGCGCAAAAAATTCAGACATATTTGTGATTACACGTTCGGGATAACTGTGGTGTTTCCTAGAACTTTGGAGAAAGTTCAACTCACCTACGCAATTTCTTCTAGTTCCGTCCAGTTTGTATCCCTGGAAGCATGCGCAGTAGTAGCTACCTTGGGTATTTTTGCAGATGTTCGAGCAGGGATGAGTCGAATGCGAGGAGCACTCGTCGATGTCTTATATAAAAGCAAAGGAAAAAAAAACTTAAAATTTGAAATGAAACAAAGATCGGCTCTCGCAATCCGAATCTCATTTTCAATAAGTTTACTTGATATTATGAAAGTAGAGGCAAGCGAATATGGTTAGAATGACGGCGACATCGAGTACCATTGTTTACTGCAGTATATTTTAGAGTCTCCTAACAACTAATTTGTGTTCTGGTTCACAATAGGTGCCGAGAACACATTATAAATGTTCCCTTATTATCCGACTGCACGGGCTGCGCTCTCTCCCTATACCTAAGGGAAGTGATGAAACGTGCTTTGCTTCCGTCGCCCTGATTGGCTTGAGAGGGCCTTAACGTTTGCTCTTTACCAAGTTACGGGGAAACTAATTGTAGTGATGTGCATTGCTGAACAGAGAACGAGGCGAAGTAGGTTACCTTCGCAGCCTTGTCCACTGTTCGATGATTTCCGGAAGCCGCCGTCGCACACGCAGTCGTCGACAGACGCGGCTCTTGAAGCAATCGTGTGGGTATTGGGTGGGCATCGTACGCAAGCCTCTCCCTTTGGATCCTTGAACGTGTTTTTTTGACAGTCTTCGAAGAAAGAGGAAGAATTGAACATGGAGATGCACATAGCACGCCGTTTTTGACTCCGAATATGACTGAAGCCAGAAACTGTGAGCGATTATTTATTTCACAACCCGCAGGACCCGAGGGCATTGCAGAGGGGAGTGTGTTACTAAGACGTCTTCTGCATTAGAGTTTAAGAGCAGGGACATTATGTAAATCTAGGTAGGTGCGAGTTGAGTTGGTGTTCGCAAAAGTGTTCATAAATCTAACTGCACAAAGTACCGGGGTTACATTTTTATTGTAGTTACGCGATCGTTGCCAATTGCTAACGGTGTGAGGAAAAAGCGAGGAGAAATCGGGTTTTCTTAGTTACCATGACATTTTCTGCACGATGCCAAGATGAGTACCGAAACGTAGAGGTATTGGTGTTAATAAATTGCCGCATAATCACTGAAACCAATTAATTTTTTTTAACAAATAGTTTAGGTAAGTTTTAGGAAAAAAACAACCTAAATTGCACATTCGTGACAGAACCGCTGCACATTTTTTAGTACCTCCCACTGTTGCGCTACTTTCCATAAAAAAAATTAAATATTTAATGAAAACCAATATAATCTCGCCTTGAGGTTCAGCACATTAATCATGATTTACCTCGAGCAATGTCTGTAAATGTTTGTTTCTCGAATAATTCAAGAAAATGTTTCCACTACAGTTTTTCTTCTGCAATGCAACTTCGTCCAAATGTAGGTATAAAACTTAGAGGATGACACTTAAGACTGCTTACATGTAGGAGTGCGAAAGTATCCCTACAAGCATCTTGCTGCGTGCTTGTAAGAGCTGCGTACAGCTCTGATTGTTAGTGCTCCACAAGCAGCGCTGCAGAACTCGTGATACAGTAGTGCACAGGAGGAGAAAGAGGGAAATTCCCGCTACCCCTCCCCCTCCTACCACGCGTGACACGTGACCCTAGAGGGGGGAGAGAGTGGCGGTCGCACGCGCGCCACCCTCTCTTTTACCGGCGCGCGAGCCGCAGCGCCAGGAGAGGGCTTTTCTGTGGGGTGGCGTTCCTTGGTACTATGACGCGTCGCAGCCAATGGGATTTTAGGGTCCGTTTCGCTCAGCCAATGGGAAAATAAGAGTTTATGGCTCGTTTTTTGCGGTTACAGACACCGCTGGCTTCGCTCCATGGGATAGTTATGCTTTCGCGTTAAAAATACCGCAATCTACCAATGTCTCAGTTATTATTTTGTTCCTTTGTAACGTAATATCGGCTTTAAAAAAAGTTGGTGAACTATCTTTTATTTACTATATGCAGGCTTACAGGCCTGCATAAAATACGAGTAATATGCCTACAGTTTTTGCGGTAGACCCTGTGACTATGGATGTGAAAGGTTTCGTATCTACTTAATCTCAAATTATGTTCTTTCAAAGCGGGACAGATATCTTAGAAACATATCTGCGTCCCCAATGAACACAAACCGTCTATTGCGCATGAAATGGATGGTACCTTGACAACGCCCTCCACCGAGCGAAATCCGTCCTGGATGACACTTGCACCTGTAACTTCCGTCAACGTTTTCGCATACATCCCCGCAGCCATGCCGGCCCATCGAGCACTCGTCAATATCTGTGCATTGCGGGAGGCAAGAAAAAGTCTTTCGTTATCTCTTTCTCGATGTATTTTCTTTGATACAGGTTTACTGTGCCGAACATGTCATGATCTTTCGTAACCACCGAGATCAACTTTACGCACTCTTTTTGAAATAGTCGCTTATAATATTGTAAGAATTATGTCAGGCCCACGGTAAAAAAATACGCACAAAAAAACAAGAAAAAAAACAACATATACAATTAAGACAGAAGCGTTCTACGGCCACTCGATAGATGGTGCCACTGTGCTAGTCTCTTAAGCGGTTTTAAGAAATCAAAACGCACTCGTGCATAGGCAAATGCAAATGTATGTAGCTGTATTTAGCAAGAGGACGACATTGGCGGATTGCTGTCGTAGTTTACCCTTACACTTTATCGCGGAAGACCGAGATGTGTACTCAAAATAAAGTACCCCCCCCCCCCCCCCCCCCCTTTTGGTGATATTTTATACCACTGAGTTTCGATAGGAATATTTCGGTCCAGCGCAAAAAATTCAGACATATTTGTGATTACACGTTCGGGATAACTGTGGTGTTTCCTAGAACTTTGGAGAAAGTTCAACTCACCTACGCAATTTCTTCTAGTTCCGTCCAGTTTGTATCCCTGGAAGCATGCGCAGTAGTAGCTACCTTGGGTATTTTTGCAGATATTCGAGCAGGGATGAGTCGAATGCGAGGAGCACTCGTCGATGTCTTATATAAAAGCAAAGGAAAAAAAAACTTAAAATTTGAAATGAAACAAAGATCGGCTCTCGCAATCCGAATCTCATTTTCAATAAGTTTACTTGATATTATGAAAGTAGAGGCAAGCGAATATGGTTAGAATGACGGCGACATCGAGTACCATTGTTTACTGCAGTATATTTTAGAGTCTCCTAACAACTAATTTGTGTTCTGGTTCACAATAGGTGCCGAGAACACATTATAAATGTTCCCTTGGTCCTAACCGGTCAAAGACAGTCGATGGCAGCATACGTGGATGCTCGGTTTCATGGAAACTTGCCATGTACAAAGAACAAAAGCACGATGATTTAAAAATAGCGTAAAAAACTTCAATACATAGATATTGATACTATAATGTAAAATATATTTCTATATTCCGGGCCAGTGCTTTGTTTTAAGGTGCAATGAATGAAGTAGCTTGAATAGGGTACTGATGTCAAAAGACAGCAGAAGGTCGTCGCAATGCCACCATTTTAAGGTGGCCAAAGGGAGTCCTAGAAATGATTTGGAACTTGTAAACTTTCAAAAGTGATGAACAACTGTGCTATTTACTTGCCTTCACAGCCGGTCCCAGTCTCGCTCAACGTGTATCCTTCCCTGCAGCTACAGCGAAAACTTCCAATGGTGTTGTTGCAGATGTGGGCACACAAGTTGCTGGTCCCGGAGGAGCATTCGTTGATATCTGTGATGTTCGCAACGCAAGAAGGCAGGAGCTTGAAACACGTCAATGTATGTTCGACACTGGTGAATATATGAGGGTGAAGCGTTGTAGGATGCTTCTGCTGTCGTCTTAATTTTAATTTTTTTTAAGGCACTGGTATGAAAATAGCTTTATATTCAAGTTTATCATAAACGTTAAGAAATGTGGAGTTGCTACGAAGTCGACCATTAAGCGGCATCCGTTTTTTTTTTTTCACACCAATGCTGAAACGAAGAGGAACGACTCTTAATACTTATTCCTAGAAGGAACACAAGCTCCTGGCTAGAACAATTTTTGTCCAAAAATCGGCTGGTGATACTCTTTTTGAAAACGAAGGGATATCCTGAGAAAGGGCTCCGCAGCATATAAGATGAGATTTCACATACCCGACTGACATGTGGACACAATTTAAGGATAGGTCCTGCCAAAATGGATTTGAATACTCTTAATTTTCATCAAACACCACCATTGAATTTCGATGACTTAAGTCATTAAAGTGCTGTGCATGCTGCATTGTTTTTCCACACCAAATAAACGTTTTTCCGCACTCTAAGACTTATTTTATTAGGAAAGGTCAGATTGGCTTATTGAAAAGTGAGCTTAGTTTTAACGTCATGCAATTGTCTTTGCAATAAATAAAATAAACTTAAGTAGGGCTGTGGAAATAGTGCTTTGAATTAAATACCGATGCATCATCATAGTCTTCGACGTGTTTAAGACAACCACTACACACTGGCTTTCTTTACAGCGCTGAAGCTAGCAATGCCGCGGCGCTATACCATTCTGAGCAATCTCCACACACCCCTGATTATAAGTAATGAATTACTTAATTACACTGCGAATTGTACGAGTTTTTATCTGGCTAAATTCCATTAAAATTACCTATTTGGTACTGCGTATTAGTTTGGTTATAATACCTTCGCATGTCCCGTTGACTGGAGCAAATCCTATCGGACATTCCGGCGTGACGCGATCCGCGTCTTTGCTTCCGGACGGTGTCTCCTCCTCCATCCCAGAACCCTCGATGTCATCAATCCCATCGCTGCTGTTTGAAAAGCCAGTTGAGTTTGACGGCCAGATATACTCATACGTGTCCTCGGGTACAACAGACAACTCTGGAAAAGAATTGAAAATAAAAATGAAGACAGCCAGAAGTCACGGCGACTGTTTATCCAATGATACCGACAATTTTCTCTCTCTCTCTTGAGTGGAGCGTTGCACTCATGGCACAACCAGCAGTTTCCTGATATCTGCTGTCAAGGGGCAGTAGCAAAAAAGAAGAAAACGATATGAATCTATATTGAGCAGCCTACATTTCCAAGTGCCAGTTGGCCAGTCATATATTTCTAATGATTCCGAACACCTGCTACACTTCGCTTCCCCTTAAAGGGGCCCTGCAAGGACTTCTTTTACTTGTTTCTAATTTGCACAGAACCTGAGCGCAATGAACGTAGTAACTTAATGAAACTTTTCGTTTCTTGAATTTAGCTTTATTTTAAAAGTTGTAGGCAAACTAAAATGTCAAAAACATGAACAAATAAACCTCCTTCATGACGTCTTTGGTCGCTTGAGTGGCACTGAACTAGAGAAGGGGTAGTGAGCTCAGCGAGCGCTCACGGCTGCCGCACTCCGTATCGATGGCTCGAGAGGGCGCCTCTAAAGCATGTTCTGGCTAGGCTGTATGAAGCGGGCAGCTGCAGGGCGACTCGCATTGCATTTGTTGCGCGATTAAACACTAATTCGGCATGACACTTCATTGGCCACAAACGACAGCAAACACGGCGTAAAAATCAGTTCAGAACGGGAGCCACTTCGCGCTGCCATGCCGCCGAAGGGCCAAACCGCAAACCAAAGCTGCTCGCCGAAGGCCTTCGGAACGCTCGGAACCGGTCGAATCCTCGACTTCAGCGCCGCCGCGTACCTTGCTACGCTCGCCGGTCGTCGGTGCGTGATACCACTATACCTTTATAGTATGCGGCGCCTTTTCCACCGCTTGGTGGCGGGTATATCAACGGGTCATTTCTTCTTTCCGTGCTTTATAAACTGCATTTGTTTCTTTTCTGATCTAAAACTCCGAACAAAACCCACTTTTATAAATACCTGAAACGGCTCGGCGCCACTTATAGTTTGTATTTCGACAAAAATTAAGTTTTTGGCGGCTCTGACGAGGAACAAAGTTTTTGGCGGCTCTTACCAGGACCAAAGACGTCTCATATCGAGCGCTTTCGACACCGCGGGTCGCCCCCGTAGGTGAAGGAGGTTTCCGCGTCGTCCGGTTAAAATATGGCGCACTGATAGTTAGTTTGACGCTTAAATATGATTGCAGGGCCCCTTTAAAGGGCAACTCTTGTCATTATTTACCGCATTTGGGATAACGACTGTTTTCAGCTCAGTCTGTGTCCCTGAATTGTCAGGTTTTATTTTTTTTTTCAATATCATCTGTAGTTTTACAAATACCACGGCTGAAAGTTTGATTTCGGGCGTCCTCCTCTCCTCCTGCCGCTGAATTTGTTCATGGGTGACGTGACACGAGGCCGTGGCGTCCTTTTCCCCGCTAAAGTTAGCGGGGAAACTGAATTGGTGCTCAGGTCACGTGACCTAATTTTCCCCGCTATATTTAGCGAAAACACTTAGCCCGATAAAGTTAGCGAGAAAATTTTTTTGTTAAATATAGCGGATAAATTTTTCCGCTAAATTTAGCAGGAAAATTTCCCGCGAAATCTAGCAGAAACATTTCCTCCGCTAGATTTAGCGGAAAAATTTCTCCGCTAAATATAGCGGAAATATTTTTTGGCTAAATTTAGCGATAAAATTTTCCCACTAAATTTAGCGGGAAATTGTCCCGGTTAACTTAGCGGAAAACTTTTTCCGCTAAATTTAGCAGAGAAACGTCCCATAATTCAACGCGCGGTTACGCCGACGCCGACGCCGCACATTTCGGAAACGGGCGCCTAAGAGCTGCACTCTATAACAGAGCTGAAATTTTAAAAGGCCAAGTCATCCTCAAAAGGCGGCTTTGTTCCTTCTTCTGGTACTTAGAAGCCTTGGATCGTCTTTATTTTTGTTTTATTTGGTGTGCGATCATGGGCCCATTTAAGGATGATTCGGCTTAATACAACTTCAGCTGTGCATGGAGTTTTGTGTTGTTCGTCCCGTTTTTCCTTGGGTCCTGGGTTACCATGTTCAAAGAGTATCCGTTGCTGCAGAAATGCGACTTTAAGGGGAAGGATCTGGAAGCATGCTTCACTCACTGTCGCACGAAACCCCGTCGGTCGAGAGCTCTGTCCCGGGACTTATGCAAGAGCAGCTGTATCCATTGTTAGGTGAAGGAGTGCAACGCTCCTGACATGGACCTTTGCCATCGTTGCCCGAGCACCCATTTAAAGCTGTAAGGAATCGATAGTCCTCACGAGTTACTGTCAGAATACACATTGGACACTTTTTCAGCGGCTCCGTTTCAAACTAACGCTACCGAAATATTTTGTTAAGGTTTTGCATTAAAATTATGTTTTTAACCCCTTCCGAATTTCAGTGACATAATTAGGACGCCTCGACAGGGGCGGTAATATATTCTCTGTTTATTTTCTCTATCTGAACGCAAACAAAAAGGTTTACGGCGTTGGCGGTTAGTGCTAACTAAATATTGGCGTTTAAGCTATTATTATCATGCAACCATTCTATGACATCAGTAAGTTGGATAAGGCAGGAGGCAAAACAATATTTATGGCGCTGATGAGGAGTTCTAAATAAAACCTGGGATTTTCGCTATCACGATCACGCAGGCATTGTCTGCTACTCAGGTCTGTTAATGTAAGAGGAAAAACGAACTTTACGAAGCTTATAACAAAAAAAAAAACGGGCTTTCCACTATCATGATTCAGCAAGCATTGTCTGTCGCCCATGACTCTGCTCGGGCAGATTGTATTCTAAAACATGCATAACTGTATCACTCTTTATTACTTCAGTGAACTTGGGTGCTACGGGAACACTTTGCATTCAGCTGACCAAACATTTGGTGTACAGTTCAGCGTCCTTTAAAGAATGTGTAAAACATCGTACAGGTAAGAACCTTTCTTTGAAACGAAAGTGTGTAATACTAACCAATACAAGTCTTGTTATCATCGGCTAAATTCAGTCCTGACGGGCATAAGCAGTACGCAGAACCATGAACGTTTTCACAAACATGGGAACATCCGAAGTTGCCATCACTGCATTCGTCAATATCTACAATTTGGAGCGAAAAAAAACATTAGTCACGCTACAAAACTATGCCAGGGCTGGAGAAAGGTGAGTTTTCAGACACCCACAGGATGATTTTAATACGAGGGCTGCTGTATTTATTAGAGCTCACCGACACACGACGCCCCGTTTTCGGCGAGCTTGAGTCCGGGGCTTGAACAAGAACACTTTTGTTTTTTGCCAGGCAGAGGAGTACACTGTTCCTGACACGGACCCTTTCCATTGTTGTACGAACATCCTCTGACGTCTAGAACAAATGATGTATGCTGCATTTGGAAGGCACTGGGACTGTCACCACGGTCTTATGTAAAGAATGGTCGCATACAGCCGATAAACTAAATCTTAAAGAAATGTTTTATACACGACCGTCCGTTGATTCGCGGGGCGGAACATTGTGAAGTGAGGGAAAGGGTAAAAGCAAAGAAAAGCCGGTGCAATAAAGACTAAGGTCTGCGTAGAATGGCAATCTTGAGAACAAGCGGAGTGCGCTTTAAGCTTCAAGTTCCGTGCACTCTACTTGATTAACAGGGTAGGTCATCGGATAAAGTTAGACGTCCGTAAAATGGCAAACTTATTAGAGAAAAAAAAATAGAAATATGATTACTGCGCACTGTTTACCTCTGCACTTCTTTTTGTCTGCGGGATCTACCTCATATCCTTCGGAGCATATGCACACGTGCGATCCTAGCGTGTTGAAGCACTGATGCTGACAGCCTCCATTTTTGTTTCTGCACTCATTGATGTCTGAAACAGAGTAAAGCAAGCGGTGACGTATTGTAGATATTTTATTAGGGAGTTTACTTATGAAGGTGTCTATGATACTTCGATACGTCACGGCCCCTCTACCTCTTTGCCGGTAGGACGGGACCTGAGTTCAAGAACCTAGGTGGCTGCATTGTGAAATCTTTAGAACTTTAGGAGATCAGCCGGCACAAATTCGAACCACTCCCCCACTGTCGTGGCAGAGGCAGCGGTAACATAGAATCTGATGCAGTGTCGAGCAAGATGCGACCGCAGCGCCGGCTTGCGGCCACTCCGGGACCAGAGCTCCGGTGACGAGGGATAGCACAAGTGAACGGAGAAGACGAAAGCGTTGCGCCGCCCTGCGGCTTTCTCGTGAACAGCGCTACAGGGGCAGAGATGTTTGGGTTGCGCCCTCGTACGGTTCCTGTTCTTGACGTCATGACTAGGATTCGCTTAACCTTACTAGATTACCTCTAGGGCTCTGGGCGTCGATTAAAAGTTTTAACCCGATTAATCCCCACCCTTGAGTCGATTAATCGGTCGCGTTCATTTCCATGCATATTATTTCTAAATAGTCAAAATTAATATTTGTTTTCTGTTTTTGCATTTGCTGAATACGAGGTGCACTCTTAAAAAAAAGGTTACAGTTGTCACAACTTTTAGAGTAACTTGCTTGTCCCTGGGGTTCATCTCGAAACGTTAACAAAGTTACCCTTTCCGCTTGGGAGCAATTTTTACACCCTATGTCAGGGTGCACCTATGCTCCTTGGGGGACAACCTTATCCCTAATGGGGTGCAATAGCCTTTAAGGGCGTAATTTTACTTCCATTAAGAGGCAACAGAGCATACATTTGGTTCGAAGGTTTTACCCTTTTAAAGAGTGGCAGCGCATGCTGTAAGGGTGTAAATTCACCTCTTCTAAAGGGCAATAACAGTCAACCAGCTTACACCCTTTCTGGGGCTGCCTCAACGTATACCATAAATAATACTGATTGGGAAACTGCGGAAGCTGCCCATAAAAGCCTGCATACAAAAACTGGCCCCGCTCAGTATTCAAGAACCAAACAAAACGCCATCGCGTCGCCGCCATGTATCCCGCAGCGACCACTCAGCCAACTCCAAGGCTGCACGTATTCGTTCAATGAACAGGTGGCGCCTTCTCGCAGTAGCAAGAGCATCGTATACGGTAGCGTTCCCTGCTACTCTTCAATTTTTGGCTTTGATCGGCCATTTCGGCACCGAAACGTAAACACGTAGGTTGCCCACCCCTGTCTCCCAAGCGGACGATTGACGGGGTGAGCGGAGTAGCGCCCTCTGCGGGAGTTCTACAACTGAGCTCTTTGTATCGCCGTGACGTCACCAGTTGAGATCCTGGCTACTTATCACCAGCTGCGAAGGTAAGTTCGATGGTGTGCGCGCGCAAAAATGCACGGTGCGAGCTTGGGCTCATCACGTTCACAACCGCCGTCAAAGTTGATAGTATGACATCGCTCTCATTTACGTGGATGAAGGCAGAGTTAATTCCGCTTGAGACGTCATACGTTGCGTTTGGCCAGTTGTGGAAAGCCGACCACGCGCCAAAGAGAGCGCGCGCTTAGCAAAATCCCGGAGCTCGCTCGTTTAGTCCGTGCTGGAGTATACAGCGCGTGGCATGCGCTACTCTATGTTCGATCACGTGATGCGAGCCGCGGGAGTAACTCGGATACACTCTAGTCGAGCAAGACGTTCGGCTGGCACTCGTGTAGATCCAGTGAGGAGACGAGAGCTGCATCATCGTATGATTGGCACTCGCGTTATTCTTTTCCGTCGCTGGAGTGAGAGCCGGAAACGGTTAGAAACCAACCATATCACACATTCTGTGTTACAATACTGCCTTATTTTTTTATTCTAGTTTACTCTGCTTACCTACCGTAATATCCCGAGTCATCGCCCATCCCCGAGCCATCGCCCACCCCATTTTTTGGGCCAATATCGATTTCCGAAAAAACACCGAGTCATCGCCCACCCCTTCAAATACCCCAGAGCGGACTCTGCGATCCCGGAACACTCATCCTACCCGAATGACGCGGCCGCGGACCTTACAGTTGGAGGACGTCCGTGACAAAGTAAAACGAAGGAGGGAAAGACACTTCTTTTTGTTTACGCATTTCCTCCGTGAGCGACCCCAGAGTGGTCGTGTATCCGTGCGAAAAGAAAACGATGGAGATAACAAAATAAGAGTTTGTTAATGTAACCGCGGAGTGTTAGGTCAAAGTCTGTCTCCGCCGAAGTAAGGTCACCGCGAACCCGCTCCTTCTTCCCGCCCGTCGCGACCGCGGTTGTGCAATATTTTAGGCAAAGCCAACGCGTAAATAAAGCTTTGCTGGAACGCCCTACACAGACGTTTGCAGAGCGTCCCAACCGTGCATTGATAGCCCGCCGTGCACGGACGCACGTATGTACGCACCAAACAAGAAAGTTGCGCAAGAGCTTGCAATTGACAAGGCGCCCGACTTGGCCCGACGCCAAAGTATTTGCCAACGCCACCGCCGGCTTTCCCGCTTTCCCAGCATTGCTCTTGGTCGCTTCTTTGGTCCGCTCGCTCGCTCGCTCGTTGCGCCTGGTCGGTTTTTCTATTTTCTTGTAGACTTTTCTTTCTTTTTTTTACTAACTAGGAGAACATAGTGGTGACATTCTGTCACGAAACAAACGTTCGCGCTATATGCAGATCGGCGGTGTTTCTAGCGCGTATGCAAGCAACGGACTTCGCTATAGTAAAATATTCTTTCGTGAGCATTTTTTTCTATAAAACAATGAAACTAAATCGAGTTTTGAGTTTGATGTATCTCTTGTGCATAAGCGCTAGATACGCAGAGAAAAATAGGCGTTTTTTTCCGCTTTTTTTTAAGTGTTTGTGCTCACCCACCGAGACATGGCCCACCCCACTTTTTTAATGAATTTCAGGTGGTAGGGGGGTGGGCGATGACTCGGGATATTACGGTAAGCATATTTTTTTGTAGTGATAGAATCCTGAAGGACAAGAACATATAACTTTGCGACCATTCCATGTGCAGTTGTGGGAACAGCCTCCGTTGTTAACGTTGCAGGGATTTGAGGGTCTCTGTGTCACCTTCGCATCTGAGAAAACGCGAACACACAACGACTATCAACAGAATGCTCATACCAAGGTACAGCTACAAGCAACGCAAACTGTAATTCGGAGGGTCTCGTCATTACACGTAACCACGAAAATAATACATATCTGAAAAAAAGGCTGTCTTTTCGAACGATCTATGGCTATCAGTATATAGATAAGAGGTGGTCAGACGGACATATTCAAAGCGTCATACAAGGAACCATGTTAAATGAAGAGCAATAATAAAAAAGGGGAAGTGGCACTTCTTAAAATTGCTTTTCCTCTCAATTGGTGGCCATGGCGAATACAACTCATAAAGCCATTTGCCCAATGCACGTACATTTTCTTTCTATACTTCATTTTAATTTTTTTTAAAGGGGGGGGGGGGGAGGGGGGAGGTTATGAGCGAGTAGCAAGCCAGACATAGGCCCCCGAAGAACCGCATGAAGCTCGCCAGCAGCAGTTTAGCCACTCCTGCTTTATATAATCTACGATACATTTTCCGTATACAGCATCTGCTCCCATCAGGCAGCCAAAATCCAGCAAATGTTTTTGAAGGGTACTGACGAGACCAAGAAAGTTATTTTCCGGCCAATCAGAAGAACATCACGGTTTAAACAATAGGCCAACTATTTTAAAGTTTGATATGATTGGGAGGAAAAGAAATGAAATGCAGAAGGCCGGCAATTTCATCCGAACCTATCTCTGATATCAGTGAAAAATGTGGTAGTACTTTGCATTATTGCTTAACATGTATAACTGTATCACTCTTTATTACTTCAGTGAACTTGGGTACTACGGGAACACTTTGCATTCAGCTGACCAAACATTTGGTGTACAGTTCAGCGTCCTTTAAGGAATGTGTAGAACATCGTACAGGTAAGAACCTTTCTTTGAAACGTAAGTGTGTAATACTAACCAATACAGGTCTTGTTATCATCGGCTAAATTCAGTCCTGACGGGCATAAGCAGTACGCAGAACCATGAACGTTTTCACAAACATGGGAACATCCGAAGTTGCCATCACTGCATTCGTCAATATCTACAATTTGGAGCGAAAACAAAAAATTAGTCACGCTATAAAACTATGCCAGGGCTGGAGAAAGGTGAGTTTTCAGACACCCACAGGATGATTTTAATACGAGGGCTGCTGTATTTATTAGAGCTCACCGACACACGACGCCCCGTTTTCGGCGAGCTTGAGTCCGGGGCTTGAACAAGAACACTTTTGTTTGTTGCCAGGCAGAGCAGTACACTGTTCCTGACACGGACCCTTTCCATTGTTGTACGAGCATCCTCTGACGTCTAGAACAAATGATGTATGCTGCCTTTGGAAGGCACTGGGACTGTCACCACGGTATTATGTAAAGAACGGTCGCATACAGCCAATAAACTAAATCTTAAAGAAATGTTTTATACACGACCGTTCGTTGATTCGCGGGGCGGAACATTGTGAAGTGAGGGAAAGGGTAAAAGCAAAGAAAAGCCGGTGCAATAAAGACTAAGGTCTGCGTAGAATGGCAATCTTGAGAACAAGCGGAGTGCGCTTTAAGCTTCAAGTTCCGTGCACTCTAATTGATTAACAGGGTAGGTCATCGGATAAAGTTAGACGGCCGTAAAATGGAAAATTCATTAGAGAAAAAAAAATAGAAATATGATTATTGCGCACTGTTTACCTCTGCACTTCTTTTTGTCTACGGGATCTACCTCATATCCTTCGGAGCATATGCACACGTGCGATCCTAGCGTGTTGAAGCACTGATGCTGACAGCCTCCATTTTTATGTCTGCACTCATTGATGTCTGAAACAGAGTAAAGCAAGCGGTAACGTATTGTAGATATTTTAATCAGGAGTTTACTTATGAAGGTGTCTATGATACTCCGATACGTCACGGCCCCTCTACCTCTTTGCCGGTAGGACGGGACCTGAGTTCAAGAACCTAGGTGGCTGCATTGTGAAATCTTTAGAACTTTAGGAGATCAGCCGGCACAAAATCTCCCCACTCCCCCACTGTCGTGGCAAAGGCAGCGGTAACATAGAATCTGATGCAGTGTCAAGCTAGATGCGACCGCAGCGCCGGCTTGCGGCCATTTATTTTAAAAACTCCGGTGTATTTCGATGGAACGTCTCACGACGAGGCTAAAAACGGTGATTATCGGTGAAAAAAAAAGCGGTTGATCACAGACAGAGGGTTCCAATTTAATTCACATAGTTCATACACTTGTACTCTAGGAAGCAACTATTTCTCACACTTGGTTATTATAATAGATGCAAGCATACTTTCTTGCTTGCATCTACACGCAAGGAACGTGCTGCCGTCATGGCAGCACGTTCCTTGCGGTTCGCAACCCGCAATCATGAAAACGCACGCTCCTGTACGACACGGACGTTGGCAGTGTCTTCCAGGAACCACAGCAACCTCTGAATACATGGCTTGCACCAACATCACTTGTCCAGACACAATGAGGAAAAGGCACGAGAGAGCCTACCCTCCACTAGTGTTAATTTTTCCACAAAAGGGGGCCATGGGAGACACAATAGGGGAAAGGCGTATGAGAGCTGAGCTTCCACTGCTTTCACTAGACGCTTTTGATTCCCAGAAAGGAGGGCAGACTGGCGTCACCTGCAAGCCATGTATAAACACTGGAAGAATGCAGGATCCACGAGATAACACGTTTGACGAACCTCTAGGGGGAAAGGGTTTCGCTAAATCGGAAACTAGCAACGACCGGTTTTTTTCGGTTTTAATCAGGGCGAAAATATCCAACCACCGGTGTTTTTCGGTTTTAACCGATTTTATATTTTCGTCACCGACGGATGTTTATCCGTGTTTTTCGGTTAAAACCGGAGAATGCACACCCTAGGCATAAGTGAACGGAGGAGACGAAAGCGTTGCGCCGCCCTGCGGCTTTCTCGTGAACAGCACTACAGGGGCAGAGATGTTTGGGTTGCGCCATCGTACGGTTCCTGTTCTTGACGTCATGACTAGGATTCGCTTAACCTTACTAGATTACCTCTAGGGCTCTGGGCGTCGATTAAAAGTTTTAACCCGATTAATCCCCACCCTTTAGTCGATTAATCGGTCGCGTTCATTTCCATGCATATTATTTCTAAATAGTCAAAATTAATATTTGTTTTCTCTTTTTGCATTTGCTGAATACGCTGACGTGACCGTGACCCTCAAAAAAAAATGAAAGCCGCTTACAACTCCCTGTAACGCCGAATTAGAGCGCAGCTCTTGAGGAGGAGGAGGGAAGGGCACTGGGGGGGGGGGGTTAAACTAACCAGGGGGGGGGTCACGTTACCTTGGGGGTCACGTGACCCCCAATGCCGTTGATGTCATCACTGACGTCACTGATGACGTCATCAGTGACGATGACGATGCGGGTACCGATGACGTCATTAGTGACGTCACTGATGACTTCACCAGTGATGATGACGATGACGATGCGAATGTAGGTGACGTCATCAGTGACCTCGCTGATGACGTCATCAGTGATGATGACGATGACGATGCGGATGCCGGTGACGACATCAGTGACGTCACTGATGACGTCATCAGTGATGATGACGATGACAATGCGGATTCCGGTGACGTCATCAGTGATGATGACGATGACGATGTGGATGCCGGTGACGTCATCAGTGATGATGACGATGACGATGTGGATGCCGGTGACGTCATCAGTGATGATGACGATGACGATGCGAATGTAGGTGACGTGACCTCGCTGATGACGTCATCAGTGATGATGACGATGCGGATGCCGGTGACGACATCAGTGACGTCACTGATGACGTCATCAGTGATGATGACGATGACAATGCGGATTCCGGTGACTTCATCAGTGACGATGACGATGTGGATGCCGGTGACGTCATCAGTGATGATGACGATGACGATGTGGATGCCGGTGACGTCATCAGTGATGATGACGATGACGATGTGGATGCCGGTGACGTCATCAGTGATGATGACGATGCGGATGCCGGTGACGTCATCAGTGATGATGACGATGACGATGTGGATGCCGGTGACGTCATCAGTGATGATGACGATGACGATGTGGATGCCGGTGACGTCATCAGTGATGATGACGATGACGATGCGGATGCCGGTGACGTCATCAGTTATGACGATGACGATGTGGATGCCGGTGACGTCATCAGTGATGATGACGATGACGATGTGGATGCCGGTGACGTCATCAGTGATGATGACGATGACGATGTGGATGCCGGTGACGTCATCAGTGACGATGACGTCATCGGGGGGTCACGCGACATCGGCGGGGGTCACGTGACCTCGAGGAGGGGGCCACGTGACTTCGGGGGGTCACGTGACCCCCCACGAGGTCACGTGACCTTGGTGGGGGGCTCGCGCGGTGCATTATGGGACATTTCCCATGATGCACCGCGCGGTTACGCCGACGGCGACGGCGACGGCGACGGCGACGGCGACGGCGACGCCGACGCCGACGGCGACGCCGCTCAAGCCGGAAACGGGCCCCTAAGAGCTGCGCTCTAAAAAAAGTGAAAGCCGTTTACAACTCCCTGTAACGCCGAATTGGAGCGCAGCTCTTGAGGAGGAGGAGTGAAGGGTACTGAGGGGAGGGTAGACCCCTCCTCCTTCTCCTCCTCCTCCCCTCATTCTTTAATATGCTCCGGGAGGGGGGGTGTCACGTGACCTCGGGGGGGGGGGGGTGTCACGTGACTTCGGGGAGGGGGCCACGTGACCTCGGGGAGGCGTGACCTGGGGGTCACGTCGGGGTAACACCCGTTTTCGGGGTAACACACGAAAAAAAAAAAAAAGAAATGGCTGAACGCTACAACGCTTCTGTGCTCCGATCTCTGAGCGATGTGGTTCTTCAGAATAGTGAACGCCAGGAGACATCTATCTGCTCGAATGAGCTTGCATATTTCGCTTCACGCACCTGCGCATGATCTCTGGTCCCCGGTCATTTCGTATCCCAGTGGACATTCGCAGTAATAACCACCATCGTAGTTGGTGCAGATATGACTGCAATTGTGGGTACCTTGAGTGCACTCATTCACATCTGAAAAGAAAAGATCCATTTGGGCATAAATCAAATTTCATAAGTATGGTGCCTGCTACAGCAAATGAAAAACAATAGGTTCCAAATAAAATCAAGTGTAGCTCTAGAAACGACACAAATAATAGACAGAAGAGATGAGAACAAGTAAAATAAAAAAAGTCACCCATGTGCATCCCACGATTGGGAAAAAAAGTTTAAAACAAAGATCAATCACAAATTCACTAAACGATTTAGGCAAGAGCACTGATTCGTATTTGGAACAATACGTCAAGGGTACTCCGGAATGGAATACAATTCACGAATTATGGTCGGCACCTTTTTTAGTAGATAGTATACCATAACGTTCAAGGCGACAAATTGTGGCAGGTGAGGTAAGAAACAGTATTTATTATAAGAAAATACTCAAGCTCGCGACTATTTCGCTTGAACGAGTTCTTCGTTTAAAGGAGTTATGAGGCGTCAGGTCACGTGACTGTGGTACGGGACGTCAACCATGATGTCACGTTCGGACTCCAGAGCCAAGAGTGACGTTAAATTTTGTTTTTAATTACAATTTGAGAAAAGAATGGCAAGAACACACCCATAAATGTTTCGTTAAAATAAATAAAAACTCTTTTTAGTTTTTACCTTCGCACGTGAAGTTGTCATGGAGGGAGAGAGTGTACCCGGCTTTGCAAAAACAATCGTAGCTTCCGATCGTATTCGAGCAGATCTGGTTGCATACATGCGGCGTCTCGGTGCATTCGTCGACGTCTGCAGTCAGCAAGTGGGTTTGAGTGATGAATTCACAGTCGAGCATATGGTAAATCGACCTTTTCCAAAGGTACATCAAGCAACACTGGTGGTCACCATGTTTTGGGGTCCTTTAAGACTTAGGCTAGGTGGCGCAAGCTACCGCCCGTTAAAAAGGGTACAGCCATTAACATCCATCCCTCCATCCATTGGCATCGCTCCCTACGTGAAATGCGTGATTGGATCCGAATTTACGCCTTGCGCTGAAACGGCCCTCTTGTCCCATGCATGCTAAAAGTGAATGACCGAAATATGGCGGCCTCACAGAATCGACGCCGCAGCTAATTGAGGGCGCACATTTTTTAAAAGGGCTCCTTGGATGAAACTGGTTCGGCTACGCTTAGTACGAACTTAGGTAAAATATTTAAGATTTAAGAGGACAGAAAGAATGAGACCCAAGAAACCAGACGGGCTTTCTATCACCAATGTATTTTTGTTAACGCAGTTAACAGCCCCAACCAAAAGCGAGCTCTGTTTCTTTCAGACCAAGTACAGACAGTCATGGATCATAAGAAATCGCTAGTACAAAAAGTGCGTAAGCAGGGCTGCTGACTGACCTAAGTTTTGTGTTGTACTTTCTACAGTATTGATAACAAGCTACAGTAAAATATAAAAAGGTTTGGATTTTGCGCTGTCCTTAAGATACACTGAAAAGGGAGCACTTCCTAAGACACCGTAGTATAGACCTAAATAGATATGAAAGAAACAGGTTATCATAGAGAGAATAGTTTTTCGTAATAATTCACAGTGAACAGTAGATTCACAGTGTATGGATGCAAGTAAAAGCGTTAACGAAAATTATATATTTTTATGTAATTTACCGCAGCCAGATGAATACACCGCACCGCACCTGTTCCGACACACCATAACATATTCAGCAGAGTTTTTTTCTTCGTACTTACCTCGGCATGTGAAGCCATCATCTGACAACTTTAGGCCGAAGGGACAACCACAGTACGCACTTCCATTTGTGTTCACGCACTCGTGGGAACAGTTGAGGATTTTTTCATCGCACTCGTTTATATCTGCGGGCGAATAAGGCTTTAAAATGTGTCGCTTAAAAAAAAAACAAAAAAACTGCAACTGCAAAAAAAAAAAAAAAAAAAAAAAGTACACACAAAAAAGAAAAGAAGGAACTCCGAGACGAACAAGGCACCACCTTCCAACATTTGTGCTTAAATGAATGAATGAATGAATATCACTTTAGCCTTTGATTCGGGCGCCGAGTTGCGCCATCTAGCGAGTAGTTTAAACTTTTTGTCTAGCGATTATAATACCAACTACTTTTGTAGCTGTACTAACGCACAACAAGGTGAACAAACGACAGCTGATCACAAAAGTCAGAATCGTACACTAAATAACGAGGTAGTAAATGACTAGTCCCTGAAGAATTCCCTGGCGAATTGCGCATATGCCTAGCGGTTACTATGAATAATGGACCTTTTCCACATACCGACGACACCAGGCGGTGACTGTACGAACCAAAAATCGAGGAAGTGACCTACCTGGCTTCCAATCGATAATGGAGGTCCATTATGACTAGAATCCGTCTCGCCGTACGTAACATGGCATACGGCAAAGGTCACGGTCTCAGTCAGCCAATCAGCGTGTGAAAGGAAGTCACGTGACTATATTCTATCTTAGTAGATGCGCGCAGTGCTATCAAAGCCACTGGAAGGACGACGAGGAAGGCCGATGTTGTACAAATTTTGAGTACCAGGTTAGTGTTCTAGGGCAGGGGTCTCAAACGCCTTCGAGTATGTGGGCAAGATTCCCCACAGCAGTTAAATGTTTCACGTTGGAAAGAAGCCGACTTCCTAGGGACATCCCAAAAATTTTCTAAGGAAGGAACTTTGCGCTCTCTGCTTTTCGTAAGCTCAGCGTTTTGACATCTTTAACTTTCATTTGAGCACTTGATGTTATAAGAATATTTAAAAAAACACCACATTACAGCACTGGCAGTTTTTAATAGGAGGAGAGCAAGCGCACTGGTCCTTGCCCTGTCGTACAAATTACTATAGCTCAACAGGCATAAAGAAAAAAAAATCTTCATACGGCAGTTTTTGCTTTCCTGACAATTTTGTTTTGCAGCATTGTAATAAAATACTTGTATTTTAAAGGTATTGTTTGAGAGCAAGAAGCCCGAGCGCAAAGCTTTACCGTTAGCAGATGCTGCTGCTGAGCGAGACTTCGTGCAGCCGAGGTTGAGCAAAAAGCTCGCGCTTCTAGCTTAGTATTGGGTCCGTTGTTGTTCCTCATATGTATAAATTAAGTTTGAAACTGTATAAAATTTACTAAGGTGTTCGTATTTTGCTGATGACATAAAGTTCTTCTGTCATATCTTTTCGAAACAGACTACGAAGCGCTGCAGTCTCAAATTTTGAATGATTTAAAGTGGTGCTCGAAGAACATACTGCCTCTGAACGCGAACAACACTGACGTTATCTTGCTTTCAAGGCGTAGATATCCCTTACATTTTAAGTACAGGTTGTAAAACAGTAATGGTGCTCCAGCTGATGTGATCAAGGACCTTGGTGAGTTAGTCGATTGCTAACTCATGTTCAAATCTCGTGACACACATATTTGTTGTACGTTTTAAATTGTGTCACACGATTGCGCGTATGACTCGGTACTTGGAAGCACTTGATGCTATGTCACGTCTATTTTGGGCATTGGTTGGGCCCCATCTTGAATTGGCTTCTGCCGTGTGGAACAACTTACTGGAAAGTGAATGTAAGCGTACTGAAGCGGTACAAATGCGTTTAGTTTGCATAGTCTATGACAGGCATTTTCCGAGGAGGCTAAAACTTCGAATACCATTGTCTTGCTAGGAATTTGAGCCCCAGCACCTTAGGTTGCCGTAGAAATCGCCGAGATGTAGTGTTGATACATAAACTCATCCAAGGTCATACTGATGTACCGGATATTTTAGGCAGCATGCAACTACGCATCCCAGCTATATTCGCGCGACAGTGCGTAACGTTTCATCCCGAGAAGATATTTAAGGGATCACCCTTATATCAAAATTAGGCCCCTAGCAACAGCCATTTTCAGCACGATCTTTTTTCCATGTCTTATTTTACCCCTGAACGGTGGAAGGTACCTGTAATATGATTTAGTACGACTTAGGCCCTCCGATGGGCTTTTACGCGCTTGACATCGTTGCATGTATTTTTTTAAATATTTTTTATACGTGTAAGTGACATTTGTAATGCACCAATGTGTAAAGCTTTAAGGTGTTTTTGGGCACGTAATAAACGCCAACATCAACGACAAGTCGTTGTATCGCTGTGCCGGTCGGTTTATTTGAAAAAGGGCTGATAATAAAATATTTAGACGAAGCACTAGTACTCAGTTAAACAAAAAAAAAAAAAGCAAAATGTCTGAACACGTTGTATGAGCAGAGCTTCATTTCATGCAAAAATGAATTCCCGATATTAAGCTTATTTTAGGCGAATGTAGTGCTCGAGGCATAGAAACGGAGCTCACAGCCACCGGATGCACGCGGGCCGCCTGTTTTGAGACCCGGGTATAAGGGTATAAGGGAAGAGTTCCCGCTTCCCTTATTATCCGACTGCACGGGTTGCGCTCTCTCCCTATACCTAAGGGAAGTGATGAAACGTGCTTTGCTTCCGTCGCCCTGATTGGCTTGAGAGGGCCTTAACGTTTGCTCTTTACCAAGTTACGGGGAAACTAATTGTAGTGATGTGCATTGCTGAACAGAGAACGAGGCGAAGTAGGTTACCTTCGCAGCCTTGTCCACTGTTCGATGATTTCCGGAAGCCGCCGTCGCACACGCAGTCGTCGACAGACGCGGCTCTTGAAGCAATCGTGTGGGTATTGGGTGGGCATCGTACGCAAGCCTCTCCCTTTGGATCCTTGAACGTGTTTTTTTGACAGTCTTCGAAGAAAGAGGAAGAATTGAACATGGAGATGCACATAGCACGCCGTTTTTGACTCCGAATATGACTGAAGCCAGAAACTGTGAGCGATTATTTATTTCACACCCCGCAGGACCCGAGGGCATTGCAGAGGGGAGTGTGTTACTAAGACGTCTTCTGCATTAGAGTTTAAGAGCAGGGACATTATGTAAATTTAGGTAGGTGCGAGTTGAGTTGGTGTTCGCAAAAGTGTTCATAAATCTAACTGCACAAAGTACCGGGGTTATATTTTTATTGTAGTTACGCGATCGTTGCCAATTGCTAACGGTGTGAGGAAAAAGCGAGGAGAAATCGGGTTTTCTTAGTTACCATGACATTTTCTGCACGATGCCAAGATGAGTACCGAAACGTAGAGGTATTGGTGTTAATAAATTGCCGCATAATCACTGAAACCAATTAATTTTTTTTTAACAAATAGTTTAGGTAAGTTTTAGGAAAAAAACAACCTAAATTGCACATTCGTGACAGAACCGCTGCACATTTTTTAGTACCTCCCACTGTTGCGCTACTTTCCATAAAAAAAATTAAATATTTAATGAAAACCAATATAATCTCGCCTTGAGGTTCAGCACATTAATCATGATTTACCTCGAGCAATGTCTGTAAATGTTTGTTTCTCGAATAATTCAAGAAAATGTTTCCACTACAGTTTTTCTTCTGCAATGCAACTTCGTCCAAATGTAGGTATAAAAATTAGAGGATGACACTTAAGACTGCTTACATGTAGGAGTGCGAAAGTATCCCTACAAGCATCTTGCTGCGTGCTTGTAAGAGCTGCGTACAGCTCTGATTGTTAGTGCTCCACAAGCAGCGCTGCAGAACTCGTGATACAGTAGTGCACAGGAAGAGGGAGAGGGAAATTCCCGCTACCCCTCCCCCTCCTACCACGCGTGACACGTGACCCTAGAGGGGGGAGAGAGTGGCGGTCGCACGCGCGCCACCCTCTCTTTTACCGGCGCGCGAGCCGCAGCGCCAGGAGAGGGCTTTTCTGTGGGGTGGCGTTCCTTGGTACTATGACGCGTCGCAGCCAATGGGATTTTAGGGTCCGTTTCGCTCAGCCAATGGGAAAATAAGAGTTTATGGCTTGTTTTTTGCGGTTACAGACACCGCTGGCTTCGCTCCATGGGATAGTTATGCTTTCGCGTTAAAAATACCGCAATCTACCAATGTCTCAGTTATTATTTTGTTCCTTTGTAACGTAATATCGGCTTTAAAAAAAGTTGGTAAACTATCTTTTATTTACTATATGCAGGCTTACAGGCCTGCATAAAATACGAGTAATATGCCTACAGTTTTTGCGGTAGACCCTGTGACTATGGATGTAAAAGATTTCGTACATGGCCAGAAATTTGTGACAAGCTGTTCTAGTTCACTTATTTACCGACACGTGGCGTATTCACCTTTAACTTTTACGTCGTGTGCAAATTCCCGCCAAACCGAAATACGTTCCGCGTGCAATGAATAAAATTGTGAAAAATAGAAAATAGAGCTACGTTATCAGAGCTTCTCAAACAGTACTACAGAAAGGGGGAAGATCAATTGATGGACGGCACAAAGAACACGCAGAGAGCGTGCTGACGCGGCAGTAAAACCCGCGCCAGTGTTGGTGGTTAATTCGACGAGACGCGTTGTTTGTGTGTGTCAGTGTGTGCGTGCGTCCGTGCGTGCGCGTGTGCGTGTGAACGCGCGCGCGTGTGTGTGTGTGCGTGTGGTGGGGGAGAGTGTAAAAGCAGCCTGTGAGCGCATTTTGAGGCAAACAAACGCAAGACGGGCACAAAGAGCGGACGAGCACGCCGTATCAGCGCCTCCCGGTTGCAAGAAGTCGATAACACTATTATTCCGCGTTTTCATATCTAGCGATATGGAAGCAAAAAAGTCAGATCTGCGGAAGAATTCCGAACAAGTATTCGAAAAACTACCCGACAATACATATGCGATATTTTTGGAAAGTTGTTTGCAGATTGGCGAGTGTGTCGAGTAAACTACAACAAAAAGGATCCATATTTTGTGTTGCCTAAATTAGGCTTTCATGAACTCCGCAACCATCGTATCGCTACACTGCCTCCGCTGAAGTCATCAGGAG